CCCAGTCTGGCTCTGGACCTCCGCCTCCTGTGGGGAGACTCTACCTGCCCGAAACAGGCGCACAAGACAGCCAACCAAGGTCTGCTCCATGGGTGGGGAGGGGGTGCGAGGGCCTGCGCCGATCGGCAGAACAATGAATACGACAACGATCATCAGGCATCCGACGATGTGATGTTTTCGATGCGCGGCCCCAAAGGTCCCGCCCTCTGACAGAAGAACTCGGCCGGGCTGAACTCAGCCAGGCTGAACTCGGCCCCAGCCGAATTCGGCTGGTAGGGGGCCACATGCGAACCCTACCCCCACCCTCCCCCTCAGAAATCGTGGGGGGGTAGGGGTAGGGTTCGCATGTGGCCCCCTATGGGCCGAATCAGCCTGGCCGAGATCAGCCGGCCGAGATCGGCCTGGCCGAGTTCAGCCTGGCCAAGTTCAGCTGGCCGAGATCAGCCTGGCCGAGATCCCCCTGGACGAATTTACTTGCGCCCCCCTTTCCCTGGGACTAGCTTCTCGTCCCGGCTCCGTGTTGGATGGGCCTGGGGCCCACTTACGTGTCCCAAAGGGCGAAATTGAGGAAAAACGCCCAGATCGAAAGATCGTCGGAGGTCAAGGCTTGGTGGCGACGCCCGCACTCCCTGGACCTCTCCCGGCGGGCGTTCTGGCCTGAAGTTCGAGGAGAATCCAGCCGATGCGACGAGAGCTCTCCAGGACGAGCAGCGGCTCTTCCTCCACCGAGTAGCGGTTTGTTGGAAACGCCCGGATCTGATCGACGGGGAGCGGCGCTGCCCGGGGACCGCGTGGGCGTTGCTCCACGTGGGGGTGCTAACCACGGGAGCGAAGATGCGTGCGCCTCTCGTGCACTCGTTGTGCGAGGCGGGGATTCATCCGTGTCCACCGCCTGGGAACCGACGTCCTGGCGCTCTTGCGGGCGGCGGATATGGATGTATTCTGGCCCCCAGGGGCCCGAATCTGTCCATATCCACCGCCTGCCGAGGTCCCCGAAAAACTGATCCTCCAGACGGTGGTCATCTATAAATTCCCGCCTCGGATGTTGGAGCCCCTGCGGCATCAATATCGGACACACGTAAAACTCGGGTTCGGGGGGCTCGGGTTGGCCCGACTGGGCTGTCAACGGAAGGGCGAGACCCAGCCTGAAATCTGGCGCGAGCTCCTGCTGCTAGCATCCCGCGTAAGTGGACCGTCAAAATTCAGAGACGGGCTCGGCAACAAAACGTCGGCAAACTCGGGTGGCGGCGAGCTCGAGTCGTGCGCTCCCCCGACGTGAAGACATTTCTTCAGCCCTCATTCATCGTCCCATCACTGAGGGACTACTATAGGGGGGGACTGGAATAGGGAGAATGCATGGACCTGGAATCGGCGATACATCGCCGATAGATCGGCGATAGACCCCCGATCTTGAATCCGCACCTGCCTGGGCAGGTTGGGGCTATCGGGCCTCTATCGGCAATCAATGGGCGATTGGGGGATAGACCCCCGATCGTGAATCCACACCTTCCTGGGCAGGTTGGGGCTATCGGGCCTATATCGGCAATCAATGGGCGATTGGGGGTCGATACATTCCCCCCTATGCCTATCTCCCCTATCATCGCCCCATCACGCAACGCCCGACCCGCGCGGCCGCTCCTTGCTCGGGGCCGCCAGTCGCCACGACGGGCTGGCCGCTGCTGTCCACCAGGTGGATGGTGCCGGGGCCGGCGGCCTTCGGTGCGCTGCGGCTGGCCGTCCTCCCTCAACCTCCTCCTCCTCCTCCTCCTCCTCCTCCTCCTCCTCCTCCACCTCCAACTCCTCCTCTCCTCCTCCTCCTCCTCCTCCTCACTCCTCCTCCTCCTCCTCCTCCTCCTCCTCCTCCTCCTCATCCTCCTCCTCCACCCCTCCACCTCCAGCTCCTCCTCGTCCAACTCCTCCTCCTCCTCCTCTCCTCCTCCTCCTCCTCCTCCCCTCCTCCTCTCTCCTCCTCCCGTCCCTCCCTCATCCCTCCCGCCCTCGCCTCCCTCCCCTCCCTTCCCGTCCCTCCCACCCTACCTCCCTCCCTCCCTCCTCCCTCCCCTCCCTACCCCTCCCCTCCCTCCCCTCCCCCCCTCCCTCCCTCCCGTCCCTCACCTCCTCCACCCATCCTCCCTCCCTCCCTCCCTCCCTCCCTCCCTCCATCCATCCATCCATCCATCCTCCTCCTCCTCCTCCTCAGCAGCAGCAGCAGCATCGGTATCGGCCTCGGCCTCAGCATAAGCATCATCATCAGCAGCAGCAGCAGCATCATCGTCAGCAGCATCAGCATCAGCATCAGCATCAACATCATCATCATCATCATCATCATCATCATCATCATCAGCAGCAGCAGCAGCATCAGCAGCATCAGCAGCAGCATAATCAGCATCATCAGCATCAGCATCATCGTCATCATCATCATCATCATCATCATCATCATCATCGTCCTCATCTCACATCATCATCATCAGCATCTCCATCATCGCAATCAGCATCATCTCATCATCATCATCATCATCATCATCATCATCATCATCAGCATCAGCAGCAGCAGCATCAGCAGGCACAACAGCAGCAGCAGCAGCATCATCATCATCCATCATCTCATAATAATCATCATCATCATCATCATCAGCATCATCATCATCATCATCCTCAGCAGAGCAGCAGCAGCAATCATCATCATCATCATCATCATAATCATCATCATCATCATCATCATCATCATCATCATCATCATCATCATCATCATCATCATCGCCATCATCAGCAGCAGCAGCATCACCATCATCATCATCACCACCAGCATCATCATCATCATCATCATCAGCAGCATAAGAATAAGCAGCATCATCTCCATCCTCATCGGCAGCAGCATCATCTCCATCATCATCACCACCACCACCATCATCAACATCATCATCTGCAGTATCAGCATCAGCAGCAGCAACAACAGCAGCATCAGCATCAGCATCAGCATAAGCATCAGCATCATCAGCATCATCAGCATCATCAGCAGCCGAATCATCAGCAGCATCATCCTCAGCATATCAGCATCAGCATCAGCACTGACAGCATCAGTGACACTATCATCATCAGCAGCAGCATCAGCACCATCATCAGCAGCGTCATCAGCATCATCATGATCATCAGCATCGTCATCATCATCATCATCATCATCATCGCAAACCGTATCGTCATCAATATTACCATCAGCATCATCATCATCATCAGCATCGTTGTCATCACCATCGGCATCGTCATCATCAGTGTCATCATCGTCATCATTGTCGTCATCATCATCATCATCATCATCATCAACATCATCATCAGCATCATCATCCGCATCCTCATCCTCCTCCGCATCATCATCCTCACTCGCATCGTCGTAGTCGCCATCGACATCGCCATTGTCATCGTCATTATCAGCATTATCCTCATCAGCACCAGCATCAGCATCAGCATCAGCATCGTCATTATTCTCATCATCACCATCATCAGCAGTATCAGCATCAGCATCATCATCAGCAGTAGCATCACCAACATCATAAACATCATCATCAGCATCAGCAGAATCATCATCAGTATCATCATCATCGTCGTCGGCAGCGTCGGCGTCGTCGGCGTCGTCGGTCGTCGTCGTCGTCATCGTCGTCGTTAGTGCCGTCGTCGTCAGCGTCGTCATTAGCGTCATGGTCCCTCCTAACTACTCCTTCATGCATTCGTTCCTGCTCCAACCGTCCCTTCTCCTCCCCATCCTCCTACTACTCATCCTTACTACAGTGCGGTTAGCAGCGAATTCCAGCGAGTCTCACCAGCCCTTTGGACCAAGGTGGTCTAACGATACCTTTCGTTCCTCAAAAACCCTCGTTCCCTCTGGGGAGGGGTACCATCCCCTCCCCTCCCTGAGGTTGTTTTGGTTCGCAGTCGGTCAGGGCGTCCAAGATGACCCACGATGGCTCCAAGAGGGCCCCCGTTGCTTTAAGATGGCCTCCGAAATGGCTCAAGATAATCGACGATGGTTCAAGAAGTTAGCTCCAGGCATACCTCCAAGATGTCAGACGAGGGCCACGAGACGATTACAAGTGCTCTCAGAGCCCCCATCAGGACCCCCGAAAGGGTACAAATGCTTAAAGCACCTACTGAAAATCAATGATGTGTGCCTTCTCGCCGTGTCGCTTCCGATGCGCTTTTTTGAGGCCTCAAGATGGCCCCAAGATAGCCCAAGAGAGACCCAAGGGGGGGGGCCCAAGAGGCCCCCCAGACGGCCCCAAGAGCCCCCAAGAGCGGCCCAAGAGCGCCCCGAAAGGGCCCCAAGAGGCAATGTTCACGGTCCCAGAGAGGCAAGGCGAATCGAGGACACCCCCCATCTCTTGATCGATGGCCTCAAAGATGGCCCCGAGAGGCCCTCCAGAGGTTCCAAGGGACCACCAAGAGGGCTCCAAGAGGGCCCGAAGAGGGCGACTCCCCAAAGAGCCCCAAGAGGACCCCAAGATCCCTCAAAGAGTCCAAAGAGGGCTCCAAGAAGCGATTTGAGGGCTCTGTCCATGTCCTCGTTGCCCTCCTCCTCCTCCTCCTCCTCCTCCTCCTCCTCCTCCTCCTCCTCCGCATCCTCCTCTTGCTCCTCCTCCTCCTCCTCCTCCTCCTCCTCCTCCTCCTCCTCCTCCTCCTCCTCATCCTCATCCTCATCCTCATCCTCCTCCTCCTCCTCCTCGTCCTCCTCCTCCTCCTCCTCCTCCTCCTCCTCCTCCTCATTCCCTCGCTTCCACGCCAGCCCCAGGGATGGCCCGAGGAGGCCCTCCAAGGCCACCCCCTTGCTCCCAGGGATCTCTCTGTTCACCCTGGCTGATCGCTTTGTCTCACTATATGTGCCTCGTCGTCCCTTTTTCCCATCAGCTCTCATGGGCAAGGCTTCCGAAGGGGCTGGTGGGGATATGCGAAGCGTGAAGACTCCTCCCCCTCCTCCGTCTTCTCCTCCCTCCCGACTCCTCCTCATTCCTCCTGATTCTTCATTCCACGTTCCTCCTCCCTTCCCTTCTACCCTCATCTTCTTCCTCTTCTTCCCCCTCCTCATCATCCTCCTTATGCTCATCCTCATCCTCATCCTCATCCGCATCCTCATGCATTCCCATTCCTTCCGCCTTCCTCCCACCCCAAGCTCCTCCTCCACCTCCTCCTTCTCCTCTTCCTCCTCCTCCGCCTCCTCCTCCTCATCATCATCATTGTCCTCACTCCTCCATCTCTCTCTCTCTCTGACATGGCGAAAGATCAGAAGTATATCGTGCGTGAGGCATGTGTTGCTACCCCGTGACCTCGATAAGCGTCTCTAAGAGATGGTGCGTCCTGAAAAGGCCAGTGTCTTATTTCCTTGGTTGGGACGTTGGGACAGTATATGTGACACGGCATCTTGGCATCGCATGCGGTGGGTTCCCAGTGCACGAGTTCCAGCGGGCACAGGAGGTCGCGTGCAGCGTCGAGGTCTTCTCAACGATCAAGTCTTCTGATTATGTCTATCAACCCTCAGATCCGGGCCTCGCCAAGAAACTCGCCTCGGACGGTTTTCCTACGGTCTCGGCCTCAGGAGGCCACCTCCTGGTCCTGGGGCCGTCAAGATTCGAATTGGGATCAGAAAGGCAATTTCTGGGGGCCCACAAAATTCGAAAAGGGATCAAAATGAATCGTAAAAATTCGAATCGGGATCAAAATTCGAATCGGGTCGAGGTCCCAGAGGGCCCACCTCCCGAAAGAGCTCGCGCCGTCGGACAAGGGGAAATGAAGGCGCACCCTGGAGCCGCAGGTCTGGCTAGGCGCCTTCGGAGCTGTCTTGTGCCAGAGATGGCCGAGACGCTCTTTGGCGGCGCGCACAAGGGGGGAGGGGGAGGGGGGAAGGCTTCTTAGAAGGAGGCTGCTTCTCAGAAGGCGCCGGCCCTACATCTGTAGACAAGGCCAACGCCTTCCAAGAAGCAGGGGTGCTTCTAAGAAGCCTTCCCCCCTCTCCCTACCCCCGTCTGCGCGTGGCCGAGTCTTGTGCCAGAGATGGCCGAGGCACTCTCGTGCCGGTTGTTCTGTCCCCCCTCCCACTGCGCCCGCCACCGCCTGCCCCTGCATGTCCAGGACCCGTAGCCACAGGAGGGGGCCGAGCAGTCTGGCCGGGAGGCGAGGAAAACCGAGCACGCGGCCGCCCCACGAAAACAAACGTGCCCTTGCGCGAGATAGCATGGCGACCTTCCGCCGCAGCGTACGCGGGCCGCCAGCGCGACACGCCACTCTGGAAACGAGGGGGCTGACGCGCGACCCTACGCAGGCAGCTTGCGCGCCAGTGTCTGTTGAGTCGAACCCGCTTCCTGCGTCGCTTACGTCTTTCCTCCGAATTCGGCGCCCGATGACACCGCATGTGCTGTGCGCTTTCGGGCTCAACACCGTGGGGGGACCGCCCCCCGCGGCCGGGGCCTCGGGAACGGTCAGGGCCCCCAGGTGCGACACTGTCGGCACCTCTCAGGCTGTCTCCTTCGCCCACGCCCCCGACTGGAGGGGACAGAACGGGGACCATGACCAAGACTCAACGCGGAAACGTCGCGTCGATCTTGGTCACCGTCGATCCTGGTCGGCGTCAATTCGTGACCCATCCCCGCGAATGGGCGACGGCCGCCATGGACCATGACCAAGATCGGCACCAACAGAATCCCGCGACATCTTCTCTCGATCGGCGGAGACGATTCCACTCCTCGGAGCTGCCGCCTGTTCGTTGCTGGCCCTCGGGTGTCGGCGCGGGGGGGGCAGCCAGGGGGCCCCGAGCAGCCGTCGCGATTGACTGCCCTAGGCAGACCACGGGCTGGCCCAAGAGGCCCGATCGGCCCACCCGCCAACCCGCCACCCCTAGCCTGGGTAACACCACTCGGGGCGGAGGAGGAGGAGGACCAGTGCGTACCCAAGACTCACCAACGATGTTGAAACACATCCTCCCTCCAGAATCCCTTTTTCACAAGCCCCTAGAAGGGATCATTTCCACGGAAGGACTTCGCCCCGTTGGGGGACAGCCTTGTGAACATCTTGATGCGCGCCAAAACATAGTTCTCGGGACTTCAAACGCCACGAGTGAACTCGACTGTTGCGTCTTGGCGATCCTCAATCGTGCCTGAACACCCTTCCTGGGACTTCAACACCGCGAATCAACATAAATGTTGCGCCCTGACAATCCTGAATCGTTCGAAAGCACCCTATCAGATACGTTAACCATGAGAACCAATAAAATTCTTGCAAATGGTGAAAACGAGTATGCGCGGCGCTAAGGCGAGAGTCACAGTTGGGAAACGAGCCGCCCTCAACACACGAAACTCTTGCAATTGTTACGAACGCGCGCGGAGCTAAAGCGAGAACCACATGTTGAAAACGATCCGCCCTCAATCCATGAATCTCTCGCAAATGTTTACAGCCAATGCGCGCGGCGCTGAAGCGAGAACCACAGTTTGAAAACGACCCGCCCTCAATCCTCGAAACTCGCGCAATGCTTTGGCACGAGTGCGCGCGGCACTAAGGCGAAAGCCACGGTTTGAAAACCGACCGCCCTCAATCCGTGAAACTCCTGCGTTTATCGATCTGTATACAGATAACTCAACACGTGTTAATTTTGTATATGTATAGAGAGAGATACGTATAGCAAAGGCGAAAGACACAGTTTGAAAAGGACCCGCCCTCATTCCGTGAAACTCTTGCACGTGATCAAAACGAATGCGCGCGGCGCTCAGGCGAGAGGCATAGTTTGAAAAAAACAAGTCACCCTCAGTATGTGGAACTCCTGCGATAGTTTAAAGCGAATATGCGCAGCGCTAAGGCAAGAACCACATGTTGAAAATGGCCCGTCTTCAATCCGCGAAACCCGTGCAATTGTTTAAAACGAATGGTCACTGCACCGACCTTGCAGACGTACTGCAGATGGTTTTTGTTGCGTGGAACTGTGTCAATGCAAAACCTCGAAGCGGCGAGCGGAAAACGAAGTGAATGTCACGTGGATGTTTTGTAGTCTTCCTTCCTGGCCAACAAAAGCCCGCACGAAATTCACTTCGAAACCTGAAACCAAATCCCACCAGCCCTCTGGGCGTCGGTGGTCTAGAGAGTTTCCTCTTCCAACCCCCTTCTTCCCCTTCGGGGAGGGGTTTACCCCTCCCCCTACCGCCTCCCCTGGACCTGGACGAGGGGTTCCGCGGGTCGTTGGGGCGTCCAAGATGGCCCAAGACGGCTCCAAGAGCGAAAAGGCGGGAAAGCAAAAAAAACGAGATTTCCCTAGGTTTTGGAAGGATGTTGGCCTCTTTGTGGGCCCAAGAGGCGATTCGAGGCACTCTAGAGGGGCAACGCTAATTCCCACCCCCCCTTCTTTGATAGATCTCCTCCAACATGGCCCCAAGAGCGCCCCGAAGGCTCCCTAGAGCGCCCCAAGAGCGCCCCAAGAGCGCCCCAAGAGGCCCCAAGAGGCGCCCAAGAGGCCTCCAAGAGGCCCCCAAGAGACCCACAAGAGGCCCCAAGAGGCTCCCCCCGATACAAAGAGGCCCCCAGGACCGGCAAGAGGCCCCAAAGACGGCCCAAGAGGCCCCCATTGTCTCCTCCTCCTCTCCTCCTCTCCTCTCCTCCTCCTCCTCCTCCTCCTCCTCCTCCCCGTCCTCCTCCTCCTCCTCCCCTCCTCCTCCTCATCCTCCTCCTCCGCCTCCTCCCCCTCCTCCTCCTCCTCCTTCCCTCCCCTCCTCCTCCTCCTCCTCCTCCCCTCCTCCCTCCTCCTCCCCCTCTGCTCCCTCCTCCTCCTCCCCCCTCTCCTCCTCCTCCTCCTCCTCCTCCTCCTCCTCCTCCTCCTCCTCCTCCTCCTCCTCCTCCTCCGTCTGCTTCTCCTCCTTCTCGTCCTCCACGTCCTCGCCCTCCTCCATCTCCTCCTCCTCATCTTCCTCCTCCTCCTCCTTCCCCTCCTCCTCCTGCTCCTCCTCCTGCTCCTCCTCTTCCTCCTCCTACTCCGAAGACGACGACTCCTCCTACATCCTCCGTCTCTTGGGGTATATGGCGGCTTACCCCGCCCTTTGTTCTTCTGCATGCTCCCCCGCTTCCCTCATCACCTCCACTCCCCTGGGACTCGTTTCTGGACGGGCTGGTGGGGATACGCGAAGCGTTTAGAATTCTCCAGGAGAATATGAGTCCATCTCATTGTTCTCCGAACGAACTCCGCTCTGCGATGTTGGCGCCATGAGAATGAGCGCGGCGCTAAGGCGACAGCCACATTTTGAAAACCACCCGCCGTCAATCCACGAAACTCTTGCGAATGGTTAAAACGAGTGTGCGCGGCGCTACGGCGAGAGCCACATTTTGAAACCACCCGCCCTCCATCTGTGAATCCGTTGTCAACGTTTGAGCATCAGGGTCATAAACGGTGGTAAGTCTCAGGCAAAACGCCTGGCTCACCATTTCGACCAGCCTCGGGGTGCGACAGGGAGGAGTTACCTGTAAAGAAAAGGAATGGAGGCGGAGGAAGAGGAGGCGGAGAAGGAGGAGGGGGAAGAGAAGAAGGAGGAGGAGGTGCAGAAGCAGGAAGAGGATTAGGACGAGGATGCAGATGCGGAGGAGGAGGGGGAGGAGGAGAAGAGGGAAAGGAGAGGAGGAGGAGGAGGAGGACGAGGACGAGGACGATCAGGAAGGCATCGACGCTGTCGTCACTCTTTGGGCCCCCTGGTGTCGACTCAAGGGACGGCCAGGGGGGGCCCGAGCCGCCGTCGAACCCGGTCGACCTAGCTGGGCCCATGAGCGACGCACATGTCCGTATCCGCGCCCTTGCGGTCTGCATTCCGGGGCGCGATCGCGCGGAGACGCGGTCGCACGGATATGTTCCGCGCGGGGCATCCGCGAAGAAACGCCCCGTATCCGCAAGGTCGCGGCCCAGGGGCCCAGCCCGCGAGGCCGCGGATACGGATATGTCTTTCGCCCGTGGTGGGCGTCCTGGAGAGGAGGGGCACCGGGGGGGAGAAGGGGCACAAAGGGGACCGACAAGATACCCGTACTGCTGCTCCCTGGACATCTCCCTGGGTGAATTTTCTGACCGTGATTCCAAGGCGAATCCAGCCGTGAGACGAGGACCGCCAGGAGGCCAAACAAGGCGCGAACGAGAAACCAAAGACCGCGTGGATCGCTCAACCTTGAAGGAAAGCGGCGCTCCGACAGCGCGGATCAGTCGATGCCAGCCGATTCCGGGGTCAACACCTGCCACGTCCATGCCCGCATGCCCGTTTTTTTTTCCTCGTCTGAGGGCGGCCCAGACCCCTGACATCGTGACTTTGTTCGCAATGTGGACCCCCGGAGGTCTCGACCCTTTCCCCCGTGCGGTTTCCTCATCCTGAGGTGCTTCTTGACGGTCCCAGGGCCCAGCGAGGGCCCCCGGAGGCCGAGGAATGCAACCCAAAAACTCTCGTCGTGATGCGCTCACGACGCGAGGGGGTGTGCTGGGGAGGGGGCAGCAGCCCGGGCCTGCGTCCCCTCGAAGGCGCCGCCCTCGAAGGCGCCGCCGGTGTGGAACGTGCGCATGGTCAGCTGGGTGCCCGGCTCGCCTGGCGGCGGCGGGGCGGGCGGAGAGCCAGCGGCGGCCCTGGGCGGCGGCGGGCTGGCGCCCGGGATCCCGACACCTGGCGACCTGGCCAGGCAGGGACGGCCAGCACTCCGCGCACAGAGGGGAGGACTCCTGCTCCTCGACGTCCGTCGGGCCCTCCGCTGGGAGGTCGGGAGCACGGGAGCCTCCCCTCGCCGGGGAGCCCAGAGAGGACGCGCGCGCCCAGCCACGCGCGTTGCCCCGGGGCGCGGGGCTCCGCGGCCCTGGGACGCACGCCCGCCTGCAGGACGCGAGCAGGCATCGGACGCCGGCCCTTCCCCGAGCAAGGGGCCCACCTCGGACCCCCCAGGGCCCCGGGCATCCAGAGGCCAGAGCTCCCAACTTCGCGCTTCGCGCGAAGCGCGAAGTGCGAGGTGCGAACACCTTCGCGCTCTCGCGCCGCCTCCCAGGTGAGAAAAGGAAGATGAGGAGGAATCGAATCGGAGCCGAACCGCGAAGCGCGAAGCGCGAAAAACTTCGCGGCCTCGAGGGCACCCTTGCAGAGGTCTCCGCAGGTTCAGACACAGGAGGTCCCCCAGCAGAGGTCCCAGGAGCCTGCAGGCCCAAGAGGTGCAGAAGCGTCAGGGAACACTGGCCCCGTGTCCCTTCCTCAGCCTCCTGCTCGCCCTTTGAACGATCCAGCCTGGTGACTACAGTTGATAGTGCCCTTTAAAGGGCACCCGAGGCAAGAGACACACCTGTCTCCGTCTTGGTCCCGGTGTACAATGACTGTCCTCAGAGTCCAGATGAGAAGGGGAGCCCATTTTGCTAGATTCAGGTGCTTGTGCAGGCCCAGCGAGCCTAGACTAACCAAACATCATCCTCGTCATCGTCATCACCATCATCAGCATTATCAGCAGCAGCATCATCAGCAGCAGCATCAGCATCAGCATCAGCATCAGCATCAGCATCTGCATCATCATCATCATCATCATCATCATCATCATCATCATCATCATCATCATCATCAGCATCAGCAGCAGCAGCAGCAGCAGCAGCAGGCAGCAGCAGCAGCAGCATTAGCGCCAGCAGCAGCATCAGCATCATCACCACCACCACCATGATCATCATCATCATCCTCATCATCATCATCATAATCAGCAGCATCAGCATCAGCATCATCAGCATCATCATCATCACCATCATCATCATCATCATCATCTGCACCATCATCATCAGCATCATCACAGCAGCAACAACAACAGCGCCAACAACAGCATCATCAACAGCATCGCCATCATAGTCAGCTGAACTAACCACCCATCATCGGTATCGCCATCCTCACCACCATCACCCATAATCATCTCGTCAATCAGCATCACCATAATAACCGTTATCAATAAAAAATATCCCGGCAAAGCAACCTAACAGCGATGTGTAGGAGCATATCTGGAAGCATTCCCCTTACGATTCAGATGAGAATCCAGTTGTAGAATTCTGCTGTTCTCGCAGTCGTAGTCGCATTCGCGATGACAGTCGCAGTGGCAACGGCAGTCACAGTCACAGCCTCAGCCTCAGCCTGCCTCAGCCTCAGCCTCAGCCTGCCTCAGCCTCAGCCTGCCTCAGCCTCAGCCTCAGCCTGCTTCAGCCTCAGCCTCAGTCTGCCTTCAGCCTCGGCCTCAGCCTCAGCCTGCCTCAGCCTCAGCCTGCATCAGCCTCAGCCTCAGCCTCAGCCTGCCTCAGCATCAGCCTGCCTCAGCCTCAGCCTCAGCCTGCCTCAGCCTCAGCCTCAGCCTGCTTCAGCCTCAGCCTCAGTCTGCCTTCAGCCTCGGCCTCAGCCTCAGCCTGCCTCATCCTCAGCCTGCCTCAGCCTCAGCATCAGCCTGCCTCAGCATTCAAAATGTGGCCCGGGAATGGAGTTCTGGGAACTCGAAGAACACGAAGTGGCCTACAGTTGGCTCCGGGCATTCAAAATCATGCCCGGAATGGAGTTCTGGGAACTCGAAGACCACGAAGTGGCCTACAGTTGGCTCCGGGCATCCAAAATGTGGCCCGGGAATGGAGTTCTGGGAACTCGAAGACCACGAAGTGGCCTACAGTTGGCTCCGGGCATCCAAAATGTGGCCCGGGAATGGAGTTCTGGGAACTCGAAGACCACGAAGTGGCCTACAGTTGGCTCCGGGCATTCAAAATGTGGCCCGGGAATGGAGTTCTGGGAGCGCCAAGAGCGGTTTTGCGAGGATGTCCCAAGCGATTTCGGCTTCGGCGGCAGCCGCCCCGGGTCCCGCCCAGACCCCCTGAGGAGTCATGATGCTCTCTTTTGACACCACTAGAAACCTATCAGTCTTCGCTGTTAGGTAACAAGATCGTCACCATCAGCATCATCATCATCATCAGCAGCAGCATCACCACCATCACCATCATCATCATCAAATTATTATGTATCTTCATCAGCAGCAGCATCATCAGCAGTGTCATCAGCACTAGCAGCATCATCATCGTCGTCATCATCATCAGCAGCAGCATCATCATAATCATATTCATCGTCGTCGCCATCGTCGCCGTCGTCATGGTCAGCAGCATCATCATCATCAGCATCATCATCAGCATCACCACCACCATCCTCATCATCGTCGTGACCAGCAGCATAATAAACGTCATCGTTGTCCTTGCATCATTCCCCTGATCATTCTAATCGTCCTAGTATCCCTCTTACTACTCATGCTTCTACAGCTACTGCCACACTGATTCCTACCTCTACCATCACAACCACCACACCTACTACGACTACGAATTAGACCAGTAAGAACCAGATCAAAACCATAATCATAATCATGATCACGACATCCATATCATGGATTAAACATAATAATAGTGATAATGATAATCCGACGACGCCTACTACTGTTGCTGTTGGGCCTGCTACTGATCCGACGACGCCTACTACTCCTGCCACGCGCCCACTGGCCCTAGCGAGCGGCCGGCTGGGGACGAGTGCGATGGGCTCGCCCATGCTCTGCGCGGCGATGACGCCGACCGGGGTGCCCAGGGCGACCAGCGTCCCCGGCTTGGACCTCGGCTCCGGGACGCAGAGAGACACACTGGTACTGTGCGCCCCCCTTGGATCGGGTGCTGCTGGGAGTGCCACTGGCCCAAGATGCCCCCAGCTTCTCGCTCCCTTTGGGGGACCCCCTGGGGGCCCTCTGGGCCTCCTTGGGGGTGCTCTGGAGGCCGCCGGGGCCACCCCGAGCATCCTGGGGAGCACCTTGGGCCTGGAGGGCACTTCCGGCAGCACCCGGCGGGAGGCGCCCGCCCGCACCCGAGCACACGTGGCACAGACGCCCACCCCGCGGCTGGGCCGCTGCCCGGGCGGCCTGGCCCGCGGGCGCCCGCCACCGAGCACCCTGCGCTCGAGGAGCCGAAGGAGAACGCGCGCCGCCCCACGGGGGAGCCGACGCACACGCGGCACCTGCGGAGAGAAGCGCCGAGGGGCCGAGAGCACCTGCAGGACAGGGAGGTCCGAGAGCGTTGGGCCGGGCGAAAGGGGGGGGGGATAGCAGAGGGGGCTCGAGAGTCGGCTCACGGAGCTGACTTTCCCGGCGCCTCCCGGCGCCAGGAGGCGCCCATGTATCGAGGAATGGGCCCGGCGGCGGGGCCGAAACCAGCTGCATGCAGCAGATTTCGTTCGGCCCGAGAGTAGGGAAAAGGTGGCGTCCACGCAAGCCTGCGCGAAGATACAGTCGGACACAGGCCGGAAGAGCATCATTCGAGAACATAAGACCCTCCGTCGGCCAAAGCACACAGAGCATTCGAGGGCACCCTCCCCGCAGGAGGCACAAGAACATCCAACAAACACGAAAAACACGAAGGCACCCTCCCCGAACCGACCTCGATCTTATACCTTGGTCCGACTGTAGGGAGAATTGCGTCCGCGTGGGCCAGCGCGAAAATAAAGAAAGGGAGCCCAAACCTCAACCGAAAGAAAACAAGAAAACAAAGTCCTGATGATTGCCACAGGAAGCCCCCAGTCGGCCCGGCGACGACGTCTGCTAAGGAAGAAGCAAGCCGCGACGACGACGCAGGGGCTGGCCCAGAACATGAAAGATACATGCATCGGACAATCCCTGGGAGAGCCTCCGCCCGGACCGACAAGCAAAGCGCAAAGGGCTGCCCGAGAGCCAATGAAACAGAAGCGCTGGCATGGGCCACTGGGCCAAAGGAGGAAACAAACGCGGATGGGAGCACGAGGGTGTGCGCGAGGCCCTGGCAGGCGCGCGCGGGGCCCTGAAAAATAAAACATAGACGGGTGGTTTCTCAGAGGGCTCGCACTACCCTTTCTCAAGCTTGGTGCGGCCCGGCGAAAAAAAAGACCGCCGGATGCCGGCCCGCAGATGTGCGTTTCCAGCTCCCGTGAAAATAAATGCGTGAGATGATCGGAGATCCCACACCGCCAACGTCTGCGAAACATCCATAACGTCGGGGGTTGCGAAAGGTGCCCCTGGCCCAAGGTGCCCCCAGCTTCCCGCTCCCTTTGGGAGCCCCTGGGGCCCCCTGGGCCTCGTGAGGGGTGCTCTGAAAGCAGCATGGGCTCCCTCGAGAATCCTGGGGGTGCACCTTGGGCCTGGAGGGCACTTCCAGCAGCACCCGACAGCGGGACCCCGAGATCCGACGCGGCCGTGAAAAGTGCAACGCCGTGAAGTCACGACTGGAGCCCCAGACCCTACCCTGCTGCGGCATATGCCTCAGGCCGGATCGATCCGAAGAGCCCAGGGGCCCGCGGCTGCGCTAAAACGCCGCCGAGTGTGAAAAAATCGCCAGGCCCAGGTCGTGAGCGCTTTCTTATTCGACGTTTCGGCATTGGGCGGAAGGACGGGGGAGGGGGATTTGGGCTCCAGGCCTCTGCTGAATGCGGCTGTTTGCAGCAAAGCGTCCTGTGAAAGAAACTCCACCTGCTTGAAGCAAGCGCCAGAAACAACCAAAATCCACTCCATGGGGGGGGGAGGGGGTGCGAGGGCCCGCGCCGACTGGCAAAACAATCCATAAAAAACAATCATAAGGCCCAGATCTCAGGGGAGGTGGTTCGCCTGTTCGGTCTCTTGCGGCCACTTCTGGGCCCCTGGGGCGGTCAAAGGTCACCGGCCACGCGTCATCTTGAGTGCTGCTGCAGGACCACTCGGCCAGAGCGTCAACTCGTGGATTGAACCATGATGAAACCAAACTTGTTCGGCCACAGCTTTCAACAGCAGGCGTCCAGATGCTTGCCACGAGGTGTTCAGGTGCCCCGTGATAGTTCAGACACGTCTCGTGCTGCTGGCGATGCGATGCGATAAAAAAACTAGCCCTTGGCGAGCATAACGGGGTGGCGCGAAGGGGGGCGGCCTTCTCAGAAGGCGGGCGGCTTCTTGGAAGGCAGGGGCCGTCTTAGAAGCCCTCCCGGCTTCCAAGAAGGCGTCTTGGAAGCCTCAGGAGGAATATTCAAGAGCCATAAAAAATAGTTCGGGGACGATTTGTCGTGCTCTTTAACTACTTTATATTATTCTTGAATGTGTTCCAGTTGTCTTCCAAAATCTGCCTGCAGAAAAACCTGCCCGACCTAATCCTAGGCCCCTGCCCTCTAAGAACCCCCCGCGCCTTTTCAGAAGCCAACAACCCTCTCGCTATCCTCGGGGGTCTCAAAAACCGTGTGGTGAGAGACCGTGCGGTGACCTCAAAATTACGAAGGACTCACCCGCACGGCAGGAGAACCCAGAATCGAATCGAGAAGTCGGATCGGCAATCGAAATAAATCGGATCGGGGGAAATCGGCAGCCGAGTCGGGAAAGGTCGAATCGGCGGACACCGGCAGGCTACTAGGCCTCCATTGAGAAATCGGAGCCCCAATCGGAATCCGAAGTCGAATCGAATCGGAATCAGAAATGATCGAAATCGAACCGAATCGGAGGCATCGAAACGAGCGCCGCACGGTCCGTCACCGCACGGCTCTGGGCCCCCAGAGGCCCCAGTCACCCGAGACGTCCCCGGAGAACGACCCGAGTCCCAGAACCGTCCATTGTCCCCGATTCCCCAGTGACTCAACCTGCGGCGTGGTCACCACGCCGTTTGGACGAACAGTAGAGAATAGTCAACAGTAGAGAATAGTAGAGAATAGTCAAAAAATGCTCCCAAATGGTCAAAAGTAGTCCAAAAAGCGTCCCCATTCTTTTGTATTTACTATTTCTGAATATCCCTCCTGTAGATGATCACACCCGACTTAACTCCTGTGCGCGACGCCACGGCCCCAAGCGAGGGGTCGAGGAGGTCCTGGGGCCCCGTGCGGAGCAGGTCGCGCCCGAGGCCTGGGGAGCCGGCGGGGCACCGCGGGGCCCAGGGGGCGCGGCAGGGCACGCCGAGCAGTCGGCAGCCTGCGGCTCTTCCCCCGCCCCGCCCCGCTCGTCCGCCTCGTCCTCGCCTTCCCCCTCCTCCCTCCATCCTCCTCCCTCCCCCCCTCCCTTCCCCCTCCCCCCCCCCTGCACGTCTCCCTCCAATCGCCTCCCCTCGCCTTCCCTCGTCCCTCCTCCCTGTCCTTCTCCCCCCCCCTCCGCTCTTCTCCCTGCCGGACGACGACGACGACGACGACGACGACGACGACAACAGGAGTCGAGCAGCTGTACAGCGCCACCTCCCTCCTCCTCTTGACCCCATCCTGCTCTGATTGCTCCCCCGCTCCTCCTTCCTAGGAGGGAGAAGGGCGAGGGACGAGGTGGATAGACATTCGAACGACAACGAGGATGATTATGACGATGATAATATGATGTTGACAACGATGACGATGACGACGCTGACGACGACGACAACGACGAGTTTGATGATGATGATGATGATGATGATGATGATGATGATGGTGATGGTGGTAATGATGATGATGATGATGATGATGATGATGATGATGATGATGATTATGATTATGATGATGATGATGATGATGATGATGATGATGATGATGATGATGATGATGGTGGTGGTGGTAATGGTAATGGTAATGCTGATGATGGTGGTGATGGTGACGGTGATGGTGATGCTGATGATGACGACGGTGGTGATGCTGATGATGATGATGATGATGATGGTGGTGGTGGTAATGGTAATGGTAATGCTGATGATGGTGGTGATGGTGACGGTGATGGTGATGCTGATGATGACGACGGTGGTGATGCTGATGATGATGATGACGATGGTGGTGATGCTGATGGTCGTGATGATGATGACGATGACGACGACGACGACGACGTCGACAACGACGTCGACGACGATGATGCTGATGATGATGCTGATGATGATGACGACGACGGTGACGATGGCGATAACGTCGACGACGACGACGATGAAGATGACGATGACGATGACGTCGACGACGACAACGATGATGCGTATGATGATAATGGTGATGATGACGATGATGATGACGGCAACGACATCGACAACGACGACGATGACGAGAATGATGATAATGTTCCTTCTAATGCTGAAGCTAGTGACATTGAGGGATATCGATGGCGATGACGGTGGCGATTGTAATGCCGATGACGATGACGATGACTACCACGACGACGGCGACAACGATCACGATCACGATAGACAACCACGATGACAATCACGATGACAGTGACGATGACGATGATGGTGATAATGATGATGATCGTGATGACGATAATGACAAGAAGGATGAGAATGCTGATGGATGATGGTGATGTTCATGATCTTGGTGGTGATGATGCTGATAATGACGGTGACGATGACGATGACGATGATGATGATGATGATGACGCTGATGCTGATCCTCACGCTGATGATGACGAGGATCAAGATGGTGATGATGATGATGAGGATAAGAAGGAGGGGGGGAGGATCATGATGACGACGAAGACGGTCACGATGGCGATGACGATTACGATGATGGTGATGATGACGACAACGATGACGATGATGATGATGCTGATGCTGATGCTGATAAATAAGCTGATTCCCATGAAGCTAATGATGCTGATGATGCTGCTGCTGACGACGACAACGCCGACGACGACAACGATCATGGGAATGATGATGATGATGATGATGATGCTGCTGAGGATGATGATGGTCTTAGTGATGTTGGTGATGATGCTGATGATGGTGGTGATGATGTTGATGCTGAGTCTGACGCTGATGATAATGATATTGCTGCCGATGGGGATGACGATGAGGATGAGGATGATGACGATAATGATGATGATGTTGATGATGATGACGACGACGACGACGATGAGGACGCTGATGCTGATGCTAACGCAGATGCTGATGCTGAGGATGATGACGACACCGCTGACGATGGTGATTGCGATAGAAATATAGATGACGATGACGGCGACGACGATCACGATCACGGTCACGACCACGATCACGTCCACGATCACGATGACGATAATGATGAAAGTGGTGAAGGTGATAATGATGATGATGATGATGACAATGAGGATGACGATAATGGTGGTGATGATGATGCTGATGATGATGATGATGATAGGAAGGCAGGGTCCACCAGAATAAATTTGATGTTGATTGCGATGATGATGCTGATGGTGGTGATGATGATGATAAGAATGTTGATGATGGTGATGGTACTGATGATGATGGAGGTGATGATGATTGTAATGATGATGGTCATCATGATGATTATGGTGATGTTGATGATTGTGATAAAGAAACAATGGTAATGAACCTAAGATTAAAGATGAAAGCAACTATAAACAGGAGAAGTAACGATACTAATGATGATTATAATGATCATGCTGATGATGGTAATGGTGATTGTGATGGTGATGATGATGATGATGATGCTTATGATCATGATGACGATGATGGTGGGAATGATGATGATGATGATGATGATGGAGGTGATGCTGGTGAGGATGATGAGCGGAAGAAGGGATCCAAAATACTGAAGTTACTGTTGATAACGATGATGATGGTGATGTTGCTGATAGTAATGATACTGATGATGGTGGTGATGATGCCGTTGATGCTGTTGATGATGATGATCATGATGCTGATGTCGATGTTGATATTGATGATGGCGACAATGATAACAATGGTGCTGAAAGTATGACGAAAGAGAAATAAACATACTAATAATAATGATAATCATGGTAATGAGAGTGGTGATGCTGATAATGGTGATGGTGATTATTGTGATTGTGATGATCATGATAACGATGATGATGGCGATGAGGATGATGATGATGGTGATCTCGTTGATGGCGATGATGATAATGATGACGACGACGACGATGATGATGATGATGTTGATGATGATGCTGACAGTGATGCTGATGACAACGACGACGACGACGACGACGACGACGACGACGACGACGACGACGACGACGATAACGACGACGATAACGACGACGAGTCCCGAGGCCGCGGCATATCCTCTCCGTAGCAGCGAGCGCAGATACCGTCGGGGGCCTCGCAGGTGAGCGTGGAGCGCACCTAAGCTAAGCAGGAATGCGCCAGGGGGAAGCCGGGGATGCCGGGAGAGGGGGTGAGGAGGAGAAGGAAGAGGAGGAGGAGGCGGAAGTTCAGGATCCACGGAGGCGTGTCCGAGCTACGCGCACGACCCACGATGCGGCAGAGCAGGCGAGAGGCCTGCAGCTCGGGATTGCAAGCAGAGATCGTCAAAACCAGGCCTGGCATCAAGCTCACGATCACGACCTGAACGGGCCTCGGGATGCAGAACCCATGTCGCGATACACAGCTTCGACTCCAGAGAACCAGATGGAGCGGACGAGGAAGAGGCGGAGGAGCACTGGGGGGAGGCGGAGGAGCAGGAGGCAGGGGAGGATACAGAGCTGTTGTTTGCTCCGCCAAGGGTCATCGATCTCATCTCAGAGGGAGGACGAGGAGGAGGAGGAGGAGGAGGAGGAGGAGGAGGAGGAGTGGGAGGAGGAGGAGGAGGGAGGGAGGGAGGGAGGGAGGGGAGGGGAGGGAGGGAGGAGGGAGAGGAGGAGGAGGAGGAGGAGGAGGAGGAGGAGGAGGAGAGGAGGAGGGAGGAGGAGGAGGAGGAGGAGGAGGGAGGAGGAGGAGGAGGAGGAGGCGGAGGAGGAGGAGGAGGAGGGAGGAGGGAGGAGGAGGAGGAGGAGGAGGAGGAGGGGAGGAGGAGGAGGAGGAGAGGAGGAGGAGGAGGAGGAGGAGGAGGAGGAGGAGGAGGGAGGAGGGAGGAGGAGGGAGAGGAGGAGGAGGAGGAGGAGGACGGAGGAGGGAGGGAGGGAGGGAGGGAGGAGGGAGGAGGAGGGAGGAGGGGGACGGGTCGCCTAAGCCCTTCGGATGCGCCTCAGGGGTTTTGCTGCGCTGCCCGCAAGGCCTGGGCGAGGCGCACGCAGGGCCCCCAGGCACATAGAAAGCACGATCTGGTGGCTTCGCGGAGGCTTCGCGCTGCCCTTTTGCAAGCTTGGTTCGACCAGGGGATCGACTACAGAATTGGCTTACCCCGAAATCGACTTGCTCTTCGAATGCATGAGGAAATTGTGAACTGTTCGTAGATCTACGATTGCTCATTCTACGTCAGACTCGACGAGAAGGTCAATCCTGGGGTAGATCACTTCTGTAGTCGATCCCCTATTCGAATTGCGGGCGCCCCGCCCACGGCCCAAGATGGGATGCCCACGGCCCAAGACCTCCGGAGGCCCAGAACATGGGAACACAACTGGGCTCGGCCCGCAGATGTGCGTTTCCAGCTCCCGCGTGAATACAGTCGGATTCGACTGGACAGGACACGCGAGAGGGTACAAGACCCTTCCGAGGGCCACATTGCCGCAGGAATGCAGGAAGCATGGGTCGCGAGGCACATGACACAAGACCCTGGATTTGGCAGGGTCGACCTACTAATCTGGGCCGACTGTAGACGTGAGTGATTGGTCGGAGATCCCACACCGCCCACGTCTGCGGAACATCCAGGGCGTCGGGGCTTGCTGAGGGCGCCCCTGGCCCAGGGGGCCCCCAGCTTCTCGCTCCACTTTGGAGCCCCTGGGGCCCCCGGGGCCTCCTGCGGGGTGCTCTGGAGGCCGTCGGGGCCTCATTGGAGATCCCGGGGGCAACTTCGGAGCCCCAATGGGGCCTCCTGGGCCTCCTGCGGGATGCTCCGGAGGCCGCTGGGGCCTCCCTTCGTGGGGGCACCCTGGCCCAGGGTTAAGTCGGTCGTGCCCACTTACTGGGCAAAAATTGAAAATTAGTCAAAAAATACCCCCCAAATGTTCAAGAATAGTCAAAAAATCGTCCCCTGACTATTTTTTGACTATTGATGCTTTTCCCCCTGTAGAGGGACAGGCCCGACTTAAGCCCAGGGGCACCCCTAGCAACACCCGGACACCGGCTCCCTTGTGGACCTCAGTTGTACCTCGAGTGGACCTGTGGGCGGTCTGGGAGGAAGACGAGCGGAGCGGAGCAGAGCGGAGCGGCGCCGACATCGCCCAAAGGGCGTCCCGTGTAGGGAACGGCGGGTGCGCCGGGACGCCTCGGTTATACCTGGGAACGCACAGGGGTTCCAAATTCTTCCACGGCTCCTCATCGCAGGCAATCGTTTCCTGGGCCCCAGCTGTGTGACTGCATGGGACAACAACAACAACAACAACAACAACAACAACAACAACAACAACAACAACAACAACAACAACAACAACAACAACAACAACAACAACAACAACAACGCAAGGACACTCTCTCAGGCCACCCCGGCGGGGCCCGTGGGTGTGTCCTCGCCCCCGGGGCGAGCGCACTGCCCCAGGCCACACGTTGCAGTTGTTGCCCCGGGGGGGGGGGGGAGCAACGCGCAACACCTCTGTCATACGCTAACGAAGATCTATATGTGTTTCCGAATCTCCGTTGGCTCCCTTACTGTTCCCCACGCACTCCTGTGGCCGAAAACCGACCACGCGCCAGCGAGGCCAGCTCCTCCTCCTCATAGGACTCCTATGGAATCGCGCAGGGCCCTGTAAGGATCCTATGGGATCCCCATAGGATTCCTATGGAATCGTGCCGGACCCTGTAAGGATCCTATAGGATCCCTCTAGGGTTCCTATGGAATCGTGCAGGACCGTGTAAGGGTCCTATAAGATCCCTCCAGGGTTCCTATGGAATCGTGCAGGACCCTGTAAGGATCCTATGGGATCCCTCTAGGGTTCCTATAGAATCGTGCAGGGCCCTGTAAGGATCCTATAGGATCCCTATAGGGTTCCGATGGAATCGTGCAGGACCCTGTAAGGATCCTACAGGATCCCTCTACGGTTCCTATGGAATCGTGCAAGACCCTGTAAGGATCCTATTGGATCCCTCTAGGGTTCCGATGGAATCGTGCAAGACCCTGTGAGGATCCTATGGGATCCCTCTAGGGTTCCTATGGAATCGCGCAGGACCCTGTAAGGATCCTATAGGTTCCTCCTCTATAGGACTCCTATGGAATCGTGCAGGACCCTGTAAGGTTCCTATAGGACCCCTCTTGGGGTTCTATGGAATCGTGCAGAACCCTGTAAGGATCCTATGGGATCCCTATAGGATTCCTATGGAGCCGTGCAGGACCCTGTAAGGATCCTATAGGATCCCTATAGGTTTCCGATGGAATCGTGCAGGCCCCTGTAAGGATCCTATAGGATTCCTAGAGGGTTCCGATGGAATCCTGCAGGGCCCTGTGAGGATCCTATAGGACCCTTATGAAGGTTCCGATGGAATCCTGTAGGACCCTGTAGGGATCCGATGGGATCCCTATAGGGTTCCTATAGAATCGTGCAGGACCCTGTAAGGATCCTATAGGATCCCTCCAGGGTTCCTATGGAATCGTGCAGGACCCTGTAAGGATCCTAGAGGACCCCATATAGGCTTCCCATAGAATCGTGCAGGACCGGCCCTGTAAGGATCCTATATGATCCCTATAAGGTTCCGATGGGAACCTGTTGGGCCCTGTCAGGATCCTAGAGGATCCCTCTAGGGTTCGGATGGAATCGTGCAGGACCCTGTAAGGATCCTATGGGATCCCTCTAGGGTTCCTATGGAAACGTGCAGGACTCTGTAAGGATCCTATGGGATCCCTCTGAGGTTCCGATGGAATCGTGCAAGACCCTGTAAGGATCCTATAGGTTCCTCCTTATAGTACTCCGATGGAATCATGCAGGACCTGTAAGGATCCTATAGGATTCCTATAGGATGCCTATGGAATCGTGCAGGGCCCTGCACGGACCCTATAAGATCCCTCTAGGATTCCTATGGAACCGTGCAGGACCCTGTAAGGATCCTATAGGATCCCTCTAGGGTTCCTATAGAATCGTGCAGGACCCTGTAAGGATCCTATAGGATCCCTATAGAGTTCCGATGGAATCCTGCAGGGCCCTGTGAGGATCCCATCGGATCCCTATAGGGTTCCGATGGAATCCTGTAGGACCCTGTGAGGATCCTATAAGACCCCTATGGGATTCTTATAAAATCGTGCAGGACCCTGTGCGGATCCTATGGGATCCCTATAGGGTTCTTATGGGATCGTGCAGGACCCTGTTAAGGATCCTATAGGATCCCTCTAGGGTTCCTATGGAAACCTGTTGGACCCTGTAAGGATCCTATAGGATCCCTCCAGGGTTCCTGTGGAATTGCGCAGGAACCTGTAAGGATCCTATAGGATCCCTCTAGGGTTCCGATGGAGTCGTGCAGGACCCTGTAAGGATCCTATAGGATCCCTATAGGATTCCGATGGAACCGTGCAGGACTCTGTAAGGATCCTATGTGATCCCTATAGGGTGTTCCTATGGAATCGTGCAGGACCCTGTAAGGATCCGATAGGTTCCTCCTTATAGGACTCCCATGGAATCGTGCAGGACCCTGTAAGGATCCTACAGGTTCCCCCTTATAGGACTCCGATGGAGTCGTGCAGGACCCTGTAAGGATCCTATAGGATCCCTAATAGGATTCCGATGGAACCGTGCAGGACCCTGTAAGGATCCTATAGGATCCCTATAGGTTTCCGATGGAATCGTGCAGGACCCTGCAGAGGGGTGTGCCAAAATGATCCTCGAGAGGGGTGTGCCATAATGAAGCCTCTGAGGAGCTCTCTGTGGAGCCAAGGCCACGATCCTCGAGAGGGGTGTGCCGAAATAAAGCCTCGGTGGAGCTCCCTGTGGGGCCAGGGCCACGATCCGTGAAAGGGGCGCGCCGAAATCAAACTTCGGTGGAGCTCCCTGTGGGGCCAGGGCCACGATCCTCGAGAGGGGTGTGCCGAAATGGAGCCTCGGTGGAGCCCCCTGTGGGGCCAGGGCCACGATCCGTGAGAGGGGTGCGCCGAAACCAAGCTTCGGTGGAGCTCACTGAGCCACGATCCTCGAGAGGGGTGTGCCCAAATCAAACCTCGGTGGAGCTCCCTGTGGGGCCAGGGCCACGATCCGTGAGAGGGGTGCGCCCTTTGGGGCCTGTATGGGGCTCCGCAGCAGTCCCGAAAGGACCTGCCGAGCAACGCC